TTGACACAATAGTCACGACACATCAGTCCTATTAAAATCACAGCCGCGGTAAGGAATAGGCTAGTTTATACAGTCACCTTCGAGTAGCTCTTGCCAATCCAGATCACAGAATTACCTATTTCTCGTATTTATTTTAATTGTTAAATAATTGTTAATTAACTATTAGTAAAGGAACAACGTATACACATGTGTATAACAAGTAGGTATTAGGCATTTAGGTTAGGTGGCCCTAGTGCGCCTGGGCATTATTTATATATTTTAGATTTATTTTTATTCTTCTAAGATAGTTTTCTCACGCGTTTGTTTTCTGTCATCAGTGAGCATTTGATAAGTAACGATATTAGTATTTCAACATTCAAACCTCACAAATAGAAAAATCTGTAAAGTCAAATGAAAATTGCGAAAAAATATCATTTCATATTACACACTACTTTGGTTCAATACCCAAATACAACACTCACAGTGATCTTGTTAAAAATGTAAAAAGGAAAAATAAAAATTCATTAATCCATGTCAAAGCTTGAGCCATTTTCAATGAAGAGACAATAAATAATTTTGATTTCAAAATATAGTACAAACATGTCGTTAATCTTTATAAACCCTACATTTCGAAATTGAACATTTCGAATAGGATTTCAGTATCCATTTTATAAATTAAATGTTTCAGACGACAACAAATAAAATATACATTCTATTACAGCTTCACACACGTATTTATTTTGTGTTTTGATTATTCTCATGCTTGCCAGGTAAAAGCCACCTAAGTACAGAGGATATTAGGGCATAGACCACCAATTTTTTTTTTGGCAGGATGTACCCATGTCGGCCTTGGGGGTCTTTACAGATCCGCCGGACTTTAGGTGGCCGGGAGCTCGGGGCGCCTAGCCTGAACCTCGGTTACACGACTCGGGTCGTCACGCTATTATTATTCTCATCGGTTTGGGCGGCCACCAAGCTCTTAGGGAACTTTAGCGGACGCTCCATGGCGTGACTAGGCTCAAGGGCCCCCGAGAGGGAACTCGGTTTGGGCTGTCACTCAATACGCGTTAAGCATTCATATTCGAGGGTGCCCGAGAGGGCCGGACTTCGGCTCGATCGGTAGCTATAGTCTGATTAGAAGAATTTCTAGATCTATCATTACTACCACTTCCCAAAGCTTTGGCGCTGGGCGAAGAAGTGGTGGAAGAAACTCCAGCAACGCTTCTATCATTAACGGAGGAAAACCTGCCTTGTATGCGGCGGAACCTAGTATATGTTTGCCGCACTAGTATGTGTTTACGTAGTTTTTCAAACCTGTCGATGGCGATAGTCGTCTCATCGTCAGGATGGTCGAGAACGTGCAGTGGTTTTGGCGAGAACGCCAATTGCGGCGAAACGTACCGAGCAGTGGGGAAGTTTACGTGACGGCACCTACGACTAACGGGTTGGATAGTCCACCACGTGACCCAAATGCATATTGGCAAACTTCACATGTCTTCGAAATAGTTTTTGTTATTATTTCGGAAATATGCAGGATTCCCCAAGATGTTTTCCTTCACCGCTGAGCACACCATAAATCAGCACTTAAAATTGCAACCGCCCGCACTGGGATTTGAAATCAGGTTGCTCGAGTATATTGAATTAAAAGCCCCCGGTCACTGAGCTATCACAGCAAGTATATTAAGCACCAAATTAAATTTATCAAACTCTATTTGGATCAAAGATTTTAACAATTTTAATACGTTACTCAATTTATTGATTTATTTCATAATTATGTTTTTGTGCTCAGATGTTTATATTTTACCTTATGAACTTATGAACATATATGTTTCTTATGAACATATATAAAGTCAGCCCTGAATGCTGGAACCGTCGACTCCTGATCAATGATTCCCGCAACATGCAGAGTTTGTATCTTAGAACCCCGTAGAATATTTGCTTTTCTTTTTTCTAAAATATCAAAATGTCGGTCAAACGCTAGGTCTATAGTCTGTTTACCCCGGTATAAAGACTTTAGAGCTTGTGGCTTGTGAATTATAAAAAAAAACTAAAACTCAGGTCATTCCCAAAATGTACTGAAGGCTCCTTTAGACTTTAGAAATGTAGGCCTCGCACCAATTTAGTACCCATTGTTGTCTTCGCATAAGGATCTCTTAGCACTCGCAAAGGTTTTTATTGTTGCTGCAGCGTTTTAATAGTCGTTGACTTTTTTAATGGTTCTTGGTTCGCAAATAGTTCGACACTCATTATTTAAAAAAACAAATTCATTTAAAAAAAATAATCTATAAAAATGAGACGCTAGAATTATAAGTCAATGCTACATGAACTCAGTCACCATTTAATAAATTCTTTTTATTTCCTGTCAACACTACAGTAGAAAATATTTTGTAATAAAGTGGTTCCTTGGGAAGGGTTCTGGGTGATAGAACTGGTCTTTATTGAGTTATAGAAATAAGGTGGTGATATCAAAAATTTGTTAGCACACATAAATAAGGGTGACCTTCGTCAATTGCGAAGAAACTGAAACAAAGTTGTTAAGTAAAGAATTCCGCGCTGTCGATCGTGGGTTTCTTTTCTACACGGGATTAGCATTTATCTTATACAAACTACAGATAATTGTTCCAGATCTGTCCTTTTTAACTCGTATATACGACTTACAGTTACTACAATTAAGGTTATAAAAAGAAAAAACAATTTTTTTTGTTGAATGTTACATCATAGACTTATATAGCAAAGGTAAAATTTAAAACTAAGCTGTAAGTACTCCGATATATCGCATGGATTAACCGATTTTCTACCGATCTGATCGCACTTTTCTTTCGGTGATATTACTTGGAACAATTTCCTGCAAGTACTGCAGTTGGGCGAAAATTAAAAAAGAGACAATACATTTCGCTAGCAATCGTTAATTGCTGAAACATTTACAATTGAGGGGAAATGTGTTTCCTTGCTGAGGTAAGTCATTTATATATATATTTTAATTTATATTGTATAATATTTCTATACTGATATAATTAACATAAAGTAACAGCCAATACAATAAAATAATAAATATTTTAAGGATATTTTTTAGACAATGATTACTAGTTCCAAATTAAGAAAAGCTTTATGTTGTAGATGATAAAGAAACTTAAACATACTTTTGTTTTTATAACTAAATAATTATGTATAATTTAATATTAGATACGTAATCACAATATTTTTCTAGTATTGAGAATCGAACCCATATCCTCTAGCGAAAGACTCAGATTCACTATCCATTACACATCGCTTCTAATTTATTATTAAACGATTTGATTTATCACCTTGTTTTGTAAGATTACTTTGGAAGATGCGTTTGCTACGTGGACTATTAAAGCTTATTTAATCGAACGCAGAACGCAGAGCTAGTAAGAACACACGAGCTTGATACGGCCCTCCACGTGGGTAGGGCCGCGCCTGTGCTCATGCGTTCGTTATCTGTGGGGAGGAATGTCCGCTACGGGACTTAAAGATTCGGTACGGCGTGATGAAAACCGCCCTGGAACACTGGTGTACCTTACATACGCGTTGTGTTGCTTTCGCCGTGCTCGTAGGGGAGGACGAGCTTTTTAAAAAAAATGCCCCTTATTGTAGGATAAAATTATCCTGTATTGTAAGGACGTTTTACATACATAATTTTCACACGGACAAACACCCAGATCCGAAACAATTATTTGTGGGTCACAAAAGTTTTCCCGTGTGGGGACCGAACCCACGACCCCGGCACCGAAGCCAATACCTTGACAACTGCCCCAAGGAGTCATCAATATTAACATACTTGCTAATCAATTATGTGTGTTAACACTATCTGTGGGTATTGTGTTGTCTTGTGGTATTCTCAATTTATTTAGGGTGGTTACTATCAAGATAAATCATAGCATATTTAATTAATTACAAGTGTACAATTATAAATTCTTTCCCTTAAATATAGGTACACGACTTTTAAACTAACCTAAATCGGTATTAGTCGCGTGCCATCGAAGGCGCCTTTACAACAGGAGACTGATGATAACAATGATGATAGTAAATTAAACGCTCTGCAAACACTGACAAACACAAACATTTTGACTGTCATATGGCGTCACATGATATGACGTCTAATAATGTCTAAAGGCACACGCCTATTTAATAATGGGTTGGCAACTGATTATTGTATTTATTTATATATATGATAAGACATATTAGATACACTAAGTGATTGCGCTTTTAAGTTATAGATGATTCTCCATCCTATTTTTAAAATATCCGTAAATGTTATTATCTTCTCCTTCTTATATATCTTGCTGTCATACTTACTGTATACAAGGTCATTGGGTAGATATTTTCTCAAAGTTTTGATTTTTACCCCAATATTAATATGGAGTGCAAAACGAACATTTTCGCCATTTTTTGCTTTACTATTTCCGAATTGAAGTTTTTAATTGTTGGGAATTGATGTTACACCCACCATACAGCCTAATCTCGCGCCGTCAAATTACCACTCATTTCGATCCCTGGACAACTCCCTTCTTGGTAAAACTTTTAAGGATGATGACGCTGTAAAATCTCACTAAACTCAGTTTTTAGCCGAAAAGGATCAGACTTTCTACGAGCGTAGAACTTTCAAGTTGTCTGAGAGACAACAAAAGGCCATCAAACAAAATGGATTATAGATTAAGCTTCATTCCAAGCAAAAAAAAAATATTTTATTTCATTTAACAAATCCGCAACTAATTAGTTGCCAACCCATATAATTGTGAATAAGCCTTGTCATTTGAAATAAGCAATATTAAAAAAAATATTTTATAACATAAAATCATAGACATTTTATTAATTATATAATCAATAATTAAACAACCAATCGACGTTACACAATTAATTACGATTTTTTTAATCGATATTAGTATAATTAAAATAAAGCAGAATAAAAAAGTTAATGAAAAACTAAATGAAATGCTACGTCGTTAGCGGTTTCATTAATTATTTACGAAAGCCACAATTCAGCACTCGGTCTTACTTACATTGAAAGTTCGTTTGGGATGACTATAGCTCTGTGGAGATAAAGAAATAATATTCTGAATGGAAATTAAATCTGTGACAAAAGATAATATTATCAATACGTTCCGAAAATGACAAAATAGATTATTATATATAAAATAGATGTCACTTAAATAAAACTAAAATTATTCCGTATTGATTTGTTGATTTTACGCGAGTATTATACATATAAAATGAAAGTAGTTTAATTTTAAAATAGTAATACTAGTTAAAATTAAATGACGCGATAAAATCCGCAAACTAGTTTCATTTAATAGAATTATTCCGCATCTACACTAAATTAATTATACATTATAAAATGATAAATTCCTGTATTGTATTGATGTGAATACAACACTTTGCAAAGACTTATATTGCAACATATACAATAGTATATAAGGTTACTAAGATATTATTACTTTTATGACATGGCAACAATATCTATCTATATTTATATATATATATAAATATATATAAAAAAATTAATCCCTATTTCCCTTGGTCACGCCATCACACGTGAACTGCTGAACCGATTTCACTTTTTTGTTGTGTTTGTTATTATCTGAAGGTTCTAATGAAAAAAAAATAAAAAAAATATATATTAAAAACTATTAATAAAAGAAAAAAAAACAAGAATATTGTATATCATAAAGCATTAGAATAATAAACACACTTTTTTTATTAATTATACCAATTCGAATTAAATAGTCATCGTTAAGACAGAACAACGTGTCGGGTCAGCTATTAGTACTATAATATTATAAATAACAAAGATGGTCATGATAGCTCTGTGTCCGGGCGCTCGCTTTTAATTCAATATACTCGTGCAACCCGAGTTCAAATCCCAGTGCCGGCACCAATGAAATTGTTTTATGTGCTGACCTGACTTTTCACGTGCTCATCGAAAACATCGTTGCGTAAACCCGATTATTTATTTTTAAAGGAATTAAAGGATTAATTTATAATTATTAGTTTCGAAATAAAAAAGCGAAGATATGTGAAGTCCGCCAATTCCCGGTGGTACCGTGTGGTGGACTATGCTAAATTTACACAGGGCTGTACAGACCTTTATATAATATTAACAATGAAAAAATTGTAACATCCGCCTCCAAGTATTTAGCGTGAAAAACTTTCTACCCGTTAAGCGAATGCAAATAAGCTCCCTAGTATAGTGGGTTCAGGACTTAACTTGTCTTAACGCCGGCCGTCGCAATAGAGGATTGTGGCCATTTCTCAACAGACTTCAACAAAGGTAGGTTATCATTTCGGTTGTATGTTTTTTTATGTCTGTTACCTCAAAACTCCGTAATCTGTGGACCGATCTTAAATGTTTCTTTTTGGGTTCGGTTAAGCTCCAATGTGGTTAATAAATACTGATGACTGACGAGCATAAGGTAGACAGCCACTGTTGATAATAATCCAACATCTCTTTAACTATAGTCAGCAAGAGCTGAGACTAACATTTATATGCTTTCACATAGAAATCATTGGAAAATAACGAATGTCCAACTATCACGGTTCATGTTATAGAACCTGGTGACAGACGAACAGACAGACAGACAGTCAGTGGAGTCTTACTAATAATGACCCATTTTACCATTTGGTTACGAAAACTTGTGTATTGTCATCCTCCACAAGAACCTTACCAAGTGTAATATTGTTTTAATAAAATAAAGATTTATAATGTTTTTGGTTTAATGTATAACATCGTATTTGATACGTGTATATACAGAAGTATAATCATGTCTTTAAAATAAGAATATAATAATGAGTTACGTCAGTAAAATGCTAATTTATCTTAAAAATTTCTAAGTCTTGGGAAAAAAAGGAAAATTCACAACGTGACGCAATATTGAGAAAGGCAACACAAATATTACTCAACGCAAGAATTTTGTGGCGTGAAATGAAATGAATATAATTCGAATATAAATACGACGGAATAAGCTCAGTGTCTGCGGCGCATTGTAATGCAAACTTACCCTTGATATCCTCAGCGGTTGGTTCTGATCCGCCCCGCCGTGCATACGAAAGCCCCAAGGCGCGCCGCCAGTCAGTTCCACTTCTCTCGCAGTCATCGTTGATCCTCACTTCATTGCTGGCTTGGATGCAACCAACAACCGACGTTGCAGTCGTGAAGACGCGATGTAGCTCGATAAATAGTTCGTTTCGTTCAAAATGCTATGAAGTTCATGCCATGGTTAAGTATTTTTGTGCTAGTAATCAATGAAATGTCTGGAAACTGTACGTTGGCACCTGAAACAATGTATGAGAGAAATAAAAAAACTGACTAGTGATTATGAAATATTTTACGGTTGCTGAAAAGAGTGCTGTAAAAAAATACTTATTTAATTTTCACCTAAACGTTGCCGGCTTTTTATCGAATATTAAACTATCGTGTGAATAATCATTTACAAAATTTTATAAAAATATCATATGAAGCTTTAACAAAAACAGATAAAGTTAAATCGAAATAAAATTGTGATGTTTTAACATGTAACGTTTGGCTACAAAACTAAATAAAATGATAATTTTCACCGACAATAAAAATTACCAGTTTTATTACCACATTTCGTTAGTATTATGTATTTATTATAATTTTCAAAACTAGATGTATAATGATGTTTTAAATTTAAAATGAACAAATTTTTATGCGTAAATAATGTAGTGCAGTATCATATGCATTTACTATATAAGTAACCTTCCGATGAAGATTTAATGTTATTCATGAAGTTTCGTGCAAAGAGGCGTCTCGCCGTCGTGCACCGATACGTTCTATTAAGCTATACCGTACCAAAGTTCTGTGGTCAAGTTAGCAACTTTTAGTTCAATAGTTACTGTTTGATAGACACAAGAATGAACTTGCTCGATATTGAACTAGTAGACGATTCGCAATATATTTCCCAGTGCGTGGACTCCAATACGCTATAGATATATATTGTATATTTGAGATGATTTATAAAAAAAGTAAAAGTAAAGCTGGGCAAAGGTCTCCTATGTACAGAGGGATTAGAGCATAGTCCATCACGCCGCCCCACTGCGGATAGGCGGACTTCACATATCTTCGAAATATTTTTTTTTGTTATTATTTCGAAATTATGCAGGTTTCCTCACGATGTTTTGCTTCATCGGTGAGCTCGTGGCAATTAAAAGGGTAATTAACAATTTCATTAGGGTCCGGTGCCGACACTAATGAAATTGTTAATTAAATATAACGGGATAGAACTCCGGTTGCTCGAGTATATTGAATTAAAAGCCAGCGCCCGGACAATGAGCTATCACCTGTCATGAGCCGCTATATTTGTAAAATTGTAATCAAACTGTGTGTCATCTCGGTGGTTACATTTTGTATCGGTAAAGATGCTTAAGTTTTTGAGAGGTACCAAGAACTCAAGGCAGATTGTCTTGAATTAAAGTATTCCTACTTTTGCAATTCGTCCATTGTTCTAACGCTGGGTTAACCGCGTGCTCAATTGGTCATTGTAGGAAATAAGGCGTTCAGCTTAATGAAGCCCGTAATAATTTTCGAGAACCGCAATAACCATTTATATCTATATGAATAAAATAATAGAGGTCTACCGTTGTGCGTGCATCACGGAATAACTACTGGATGAATTTCAATCAATTCTTATTATTGTGTATTTTGATGACATTTAGACCTTTAAAAAATGTTTAAAAAATGTTCTGATATTTTTATTAACTGTCAAGCAGGTAGTTAAACTTTTAAGAAACTACGATTCAATACGCATTTCGTGTTCATTGATGCCTGGTAATTTTATAAAAACTAAAAGTTTTTTTAAGGCTAGACGTCAATGTAACTCTAAATGCCGTCGATGAAGAGAGAGCGAAGTTTCTAAATTGGAGTTATAACAAACTTCTTATAGAAAATAAATAAATAAAAAGCAATAAAAGACGAAGATGCGGCCTTGTAATTACCGTCTTCTGTAATACCTTTGGCTAAAGAACTATCCTGATTTGAAATTAGTCTGTTACCAAAGAAGCCGTACTGGCTCAAATTCTGTATGGAACATGAAAAAACTAAGTAATAACTGCTAAGATCGTGCAGATCTTAAAGCACAATAATTTGTAAACTCGAAATTATTTTTAAAACAGGGTATGTTGAATTCCTGATAGCAAGAGTCTGCTTAATATTAGAAGATAACATCTGTTACTACTGATTTATTGCGTAGAGCGGCAGTAAAGGTTTATAGTATATTTGGCTTTATGAAGTGTACTATTTATGAATTTAAATGCCCAATAAACATTCTTGATAAATAGGTCATAACCGGAGATGATGGTGACGATGTTAGACTTACCTATTTGTAAATGTATACATTTTTTGTATGTGAGAATCAGGCAAGCGAGCTGGTGGTTTACCTGATGTTAAGTCATAACCACCGCCTAGGGACATTTGCATAACTCGTAGGGTTGTAGATGTGTTGCTACCTTTTAGTAAAATGGGCCCGGTTACCTCACTGACGAAATGTAGAAGTGTTTCACTTCCATTTCACGCTGGTATTTTGTGAGGCTCATTCGTCCAACAGTGAAGACTGTTGCGTAGCTCTACCTTTATATTAAAACATCCTGACATTAAAAGAATTTCTTTTCGTCAACATTCAACAACGTTCAACACATAATATTTCCAGTAGTGGGGATTAACTGATCCACTACACCAACCGGGTGGTTGTATACAGCATACAAATAGCTATGGAGAAATCAGTCCAACCTACATCATTTCAGTAGTAAACAACTCCATCGCGGTGTATTTTTTTATTACATTGCCGCGCAATTTTGCTTGGACAAATTAAACACAGTGAACGGAATCATTTGCGCATCGTTCACTAACAATTCTTTGATACAAACGCAAAATTTGTACAGACTCAAAAGCGCAACGAGGTAAAGAGCAGCGTCATAAACTAAAAGTAATTTGGGCGGGCGCGAGGTCAGTACCTACGGCTGAATTATTTTCAGGCTATGATGTCGACCAGCACCGATCCGAAGGCCGCCTCTGCTGTGAAATATTGAATCATACCCTCGTGTATATAATAGAAGCTCTGCGGTAAACCGATATGTAGCGTTTTTGAACATCTCGCTCCCGAAACAACTGTGCCTACATTTATGTACTCGTATGTGTAAACCAATGTAATTTAATTCGGTCCCCTGTGAGCAAACGTGTATTGTGTGTGTGACGTACATAATCAGTACTTTTATTAGCTGACACAAACGGCACACAGCGGTGACCGTGACGAACCTTCAACATTAGCAAATGACAACTTCGGTAATTCTGTCTAATTTCTAACTAAGATTTATGAGCCGATTTAAAAGTTCTTTATGCATTGGATTCGTAGGTCCCATTGGGTCCACCAGGGAACTTCTCATAATCAAATAGAAAATACATTTTCAGTGAATGAGATTTTTAAAGTCGGGTTTTTTTTTTACAAAAATGATTGAAGATATTTATATGTTTCTGATTTAGGAATCTTTAATAGCAGTATATTAGGAATGTTGTAAAATTAATTTTACCTTTTCAAATTTACCAATGACCGATCATGTATGTACACCATCTAGCCGTTCTATTCTGCCTAATTATTCAGTAATGCGCTCTAATACTTTTAACGGCTGACATAGTTGTCGTAAAAATAAATGATTTGCAAAATTATTCGTACATCTTTTCGCGTTTACAGTACGAGTACGTAACGGATTTATTTTCGTATGTTATTATGTGTGTTTAGTACTAGACTAAAGAAACTTGATAAAAGTATCGACATAAAGTATATATAAACTGATACCACTTTACATGAATTTATAATGAAATTTTCCCATCGAGTTGCATATGTGCAAGCTCGTACAGAGGTAAAAGCTTTCGCTTTGCTTTTCGAAAACGCTCGATTGTTAATCGGATCATTTAGAAAATTACCTTAATAAGAGTCACTTTATATTGTGTTCCTGACAGCGGAGGTATGTGTCGGTGCTGGATTCCAATCGTATACGCGACATAAAAACATGATGTACTTGCATTAAACAGTATTTAAAATATGAAGACTTTATATCTCTAAATGGATTGAATGAGAAGATTGGATTGAATATCGAAGATTGGAATATAGAACGAATAATTGATTACCACTGTTGAAGAATACATCAAATACCAATATGTGGGTAAATGTTTCACGCTCTTCCCAAGCAGTCCCATTTTTTAAGTTATACTTCTTTTGTCGCGTTTGGAAAAAAAAGGTAAGTAAAATTTTTACGACGTGCACGCACACTGAAAACAAAAACGCGACATGATGAATTTGGTAACACAGCGACCAACTTCACGGTATTATCATGGCAACCAATAACAAATTTTTAACATTTACCTATAGTTATTTTTCTTTTGTTACGGTAAAGAAATATACCTTATTAAAAAATTGAGGTTTTCAAACAATTATAAGAATAATAACCGGGATTATATTTTATAATTCATAGGTACTTGAAAAAATACTAAAAAATTTTACAACTGACAATCAAACGGGTCTAAATGTTGTATCACTCATGTGAATTTATACTAAAAAAAACATTCCTCATTCTACTAAACATTGCATGGTGTTTTTACCGTACCATATGCACCGCCGTTTATCAGCTAATTCTGGATCTTACTCGAACGCATAAATTCGGTGAGCTATTGAAATCTAGTAACGCGCAATTGAGTTTGCACTATCAGAGACTAACCCGATTTTTTCAAGTGCTTGGTCAGAATTGTTACCGCTAGAAATTTTACGTGGCTCAAGAATGTCATTTATAATAACTATGTCATACAAAATGATGGGTGTATAATAAATTGCATTTTTGATTATCGTTTATTGATAGAGATATAAAAATACTTGTAATGTAACAACGATTATATTCGATATTTTACTTTTGATTTTGATATATTCATTTTCGTAACGCTAGTATTCGGATGCCCTGATACCCTCTGTATAGAGGAGGCCTTTTTCCAGCAGTGGGACATATACAAGCGGTACTTTACTTTACTTTAGTATTCGGATATGATTTTTTTTTCTTGTAAAGAAATACAATATTTTTTCGATTGCACTCTAGA